TAACTAACTAACTAACAACTAACTAACTAACGAACTAACTAACTAACTACAACTAACTAACGAACTAACAACTAACAACAACTAAACGAACGAACGAACAAACTAACTAACAACAAACGAACGAACACTAACTAACTAACTAACTAACTAACTAACTAACTAACTAAACAACAACTAACACGAACTAAAACTAACTAACTAACTAACTAACTAACCAACTAACTAACAACTAACTAACTAACTAACGAACTAACATAACTAACTAACTAACGACTACTGAACTACAACTAACTAACTAACTAACTAACTAACTAACTAACTAACTAACTAACTAACTGAACTAACTAACTAACTAACTCCTACTACGACGAACTAACAACTACTAACTCACTACCTAACTAACTAACTACCTAACTAACTAACTTAACTAAACTGACTAAATAAACTACATAATCATGTAAAACAATCTCCAATATCTTGGGGAAACCAAACAAAATTTCTGTGCAAAATGGCCGAGTTTATTGATTATATTTATCTATGATCTATTTTATTTCGTGGCTTGTAATTATTAAGTTTTTTTTTATTTCTTAAACAATTCCTGTTACAACATCACAATCTTGAATCTCCTGCTTTAAGGACTACCACAATTCCTTTTAACAACAAACCTTATGACAAATTTAATATACTACTTGAATAGAATATGCAACAAACTTGATATTCCTTACTATCGATTACATTTAGCAGTAGTGATGGTAGTAGTCGTAGTATGTGGTTGTATTTATCCTCTAACCATATATGGCTTAAACAGAGTTTTGTTTTGGTAGTTGTTGTTGTTTTGTTAATTTTTTTTTGTTATTTATTTTCTTTTAATAAATTGTTAGCAATTAGAAAATACATTAAAGTCTAAATGAGTACTGTGTGTTGTTGTTGTTGTTTTCTACTAGAAGTCTGTCTCTTAAGACAACATTTATAAATTTATTTTAAACTACTAAATAAACGAGGAGTGTGATGTGTTGCAATGTGATGTAGATGTTAAAGTTGTAAAGCTACTAAACGGATCTAAATAAAATAGAAATAAAAAATCAAACATTAGTTTGTAGTAGTAGTTAAGTAAAAGAAAAACTTCTACTACTAACTACTATTACTAAATAATACTTGCTATGAAAAAAAAAACTATTTGTTTCTCTCTACTACTTTTTCCATTAGGTCATTAAATGGGCTTATTTTGTTGTTGTTGCTGGTAAATTTCGGTTTTTGTCTAAACGTTTTTTGTTGTTGTTATTCCTAATGCCAGCCATCTATACATTTAAACATGATTGTTGTGGCTGTATCTGTTGGTTTTAAATGCAAATTTAATTTTATTACCCACAATTTTATAAGTAATGTTTAAACATTTATTTGCTGTTGCAATTTTATATTCCTACGAACTTTTCTTCTCTCTTTCTCTTTTTATCTTTTAGCTCTGTTCTTTTTTAGTTACTCATTTTGTTGGCTATTTGTTGTTGTCTAGAATCCTGCAACAACCGGTAGTAGAAGTGTTAGAAAAAAGCAGTACAAAGTAGTAGTATGTGGTAAGAAAAACTACTTTAAAGCATTAAATTAATGTGTTAAAATTTTTAATGTGTTTAACTTGACTTTGCCATCGCTCATCTGCCGTTATCTGACCTGATAAATATAATAATTAAATTTATATTTCTTTTAGGTTAAAGACAACAACAACAACTACAGTAATAACTAGTAGAAGTCAGTAAACTGATTTTTTTACATATTGGTAATATCTGTTGGCAAGGTGCAGTGGAGTGTAAAAGTGGTGCTTAGAAGGGCAGAACGAATTGTTTGTTTCTAGGTGAAAGGAAATTGTTGATAAGTTAATAAGTAATTTAACTACAGGCCCGTTAGCAGCCAAGGATATTTTGTTCATATATTTTTTTTACACCTATTGAAGATTTTTATTAGCCACTGTATATTTTTTATGTGGCAGATGCTGCTCGGCAGATGCATATTTTTCTGTGGTAATTGTTCGCAGTGAAAATAGTTATAAAATTCATTATTAGAAAAGGAATTTTTTAAGTACCTACTCATTAAAAATATAACAGGGTAAAACTCTTGATTTTTCTTAATTATAATAAAGCGGGTGGTAAACAAAAAACAGACAAGTAGAAGCTGAAGGGGGCTGGGAATTTAATTAGAGATACACAAAGCAAAGTATTGATGATGAAACCATTCCATGGACGCTGAATAAGAATTGTATATTTAATGACAATTATTTACATTTTGTAAAATAGTTAAAGTCCTAAATGTGAACTCATTTATTGAGGATTTTGTTCATTGCGAGATTGGAACTGATCTAAAATTGTATCCATACACAAAATATTCCATGTCGAATTTTATCCATATATACTTATATATTAATAAAATATATTGGATGAAGTGACTTAAGAAAGTGGATCTTATATTAGAGCTTTGATCAATTATGGACTGATCCAAACGTTTTTCAGAATGATTTATATATACACCAAATATATTAGTCAATGAATTATGTGTGTTTAGGTAATTTTCGCAAATGAACCGTAGATCGGAGACTAGAGACAAATTATGTGCCTATCCAGAATAAATTTGAGAGTGATTTGTATATATAAAGAACTTAATAATATGCGATTTTCGGAAGTGGATCTTATATGGAATCTATGAACAATTATGAACCGATCCGGAAAATATTTCTCAGGATGGTTTATATTTACTTTAAACACATTCATTATGAATTTTATACCGATATCTTCATTCAGTAATGAAAAATGTCCATTTACGTGTTTATCGGAAGTGGTCCTTATATGAGAGCTACATATGACCAATTATAGACCGATCCGGAAAAAATTTGGTTGAGTCATATAAGTATACACAAAACATATTTATGTCGAATATTATTCTAATATCTTTATTTCTTAATTAGTTATGTACATTTAAGTGATTTTCGAAAGTGGACCTTATATGTGAGCTATTACCAATTATGGACCGATCCGGAAAATATTTCTCAGCGTGGTTTATATATACTTTGAACACATTCATGACGAATTTTATACCGATATCTTCATTCAGTAATGAAAAATGTCCATTTACGTGGTTATCGGAAGTTGGCTTTTTATGGGAGCTATGACCAATTATGGACCGATCCGAAAAAAATTTAGTAGAGTCGTATATGTATACATAAAACGCTATTTATGTCGAATATTATTCTAATATCTTTATTTATTAAATCGTTATGTGAATTGGACCTTATATGGAAGCTATGACCAATTATTGACCGATCCGGTAAATATTTCTCAGGGTGGTTTATATGTACTTTAAACACATTCATGAGGGAATTTGTAGCGATATCTTTATTTAGTAATGAAAAATGTATGTTTACGTGGTTATCGGAAGTGGGCCTTACATAGGAGCTATGACCAATTATGGGCCGATACAGATCTAAGTTAGCAATATGATTTCTGTTTATATTATATATTTGGTGATACCTATATTTTTGACGAAATAAAAAAATTCATCGAATTATCTTCAGTAGTTTTTGAGAAAACTACTCAAGAATTAAGAAAAAAACGTGATTTTTTTTCGAGGGAGTCTGAAATTTTTACTCATAACTTCCTACGTTGTGAATTAATTTTGCTGATTTTCAATACCAAACTGCTTAGAACAACAATGAATATTTTCGGTGAATTTGGTTTACTACCTTTGCTCTGTTTTAGGCAGACAGACGGACATAGCTAATTCGACTCCGAATTTGATAAGGACTCGGAATATATATACTTTGTTGGGTCTCAGATGAATATTTCTTGGTTTTAAACATGGAATGAAAAACTTATATATACACTCTATCACCACTGATGGTGGTGGAGGGTATAAAAAAGTCAAAATTCTAAGACCTTTAAAAGGATTGAGACGTGCTGAACCCGAATTTTTCCATTACATCTGCGATCAGATATCGCGTCCTGAATTTAAAAAAAAAATTAATTTTTGCCCATTTTTGAGAAGTTATAAAATACCTAAATGAATCGGCACAGTCGAATATAGTTTCTTACTTGTTTTAAAAAAAATTTCAAAGCGACAAACTTTAGTCTGATGAGAAGGTTTTCATCATGGACAAACAGACAGACATTATTTTATAGGATTATTTGCATTAAAATTTCAACTGGGTATTAGCCATTCTTATACATAGTACGATGTATGTATAATTCTAATACCAAAAAGTCAACATTTCAGTAACTTCTATCTTCATTCATCCATCCACAATATTGCTGCTACATTTTAGAAAAAAATGTGTACCACATGTTAGTCATTAAATTTAATTGTGTGATTAAGCCACAAAAAAAACACTACAAAGTAATATTTAATTTAATTTCATTATCATAAACAACTAAATTTGAATGGTTTTTCAAGTTGTTTTTTTTTAGCAAATTTATGTGTCATGTTAAAAAAATAAAACAGAAGAAATAGATTAAATTAAGTTAATTAAGGAAAGCAACATTGTATTTATAACATTTTAAACAAGTTTATCAATGAAATGTAATTAAATTAATGGCTTTAGAAATGTTTAAAACATATTTGAAAAAAGACATAAAAAACATGTTGCCAATATTTGTATACATAATGTATGTTTAGAAACATACTTAGATTCATGTTGTTATCGTAGAGAGCTGTTTCAAGTAAACTTTTTATAAGAACTTAGAAAAGTAAACACATATTGTTGATTTTAAGAAATCTTCAACTTTAACAACATGCTGCAAATGTTTATATGCAAAAAGTTTGTTTAGCAACATGTTTTGGCACAAAACGTTTGGTATACCAAAATTAAGCAAAATTGAAAAATAGTATATGTCATTAATAATTTTTCCAAAAATTTTCCAACTAATTCCTCATTTATATACATACATATGTATGTAGGGTACATATGTTAAACTAAACAAAACTATAATAAAAGAAACATTAAAAAAATCACTTAAACTTACCTGTACTGTTGAAGATAAACGTTGTTGTGGCTCCTGAACTACACCACCATATTGCTGTTGTTGCTGCTGTTGCAATTGTTGCAACTGTAGCTGCTGTTGATACTGTAAATATTGACGACGCTGACGTTGTAAATTGTATGGCATTGATGGATATTGATTTACTCGTACTTCATTATTATTTTCGTCATCATCATCATCATCATCACCGTCATGATCATTATGATCGTCATACATCATGGGGAATTCTTTGGCACAATCTCTTGCGGTTACAATTAAATTATATGAACTTTTTGTTTCACGATCCAATGTACGTTGCGTACGTATGGTACCGTTTGAAAATATTTCAAAATCATTATTATCATCACCCGATGTAATCGTATACTCAATACGACCGTTATCACCTTGATATAAGTACGTTTATATGAAATAGAAAATAGGAAAAAAAATATTATTAAAGAAAAAGAAATTAAATGAGAAAATAAGAATGAAACAAAAAATAGGTTACAAATAAGCCAGTTATTTAGCTACTTAGGTTATATTGAATTTTGTGGTTTTTTGTAGAAGATTTATTTCTCTATAAGTGAGTGCATATGATTGTTTAGCAAAAAGCCAACAAGATAATTACATTGAAAATTATGACGCCTTAACAGTTCATCTTTTTTTTTTTTTTTTTTTTTGAATTTATGTGTTAAGGCCTTTGAAAGCTCCCACTCACTATAATATTGTTAGATTGGCGAATTCTATCATCAACATGTTAACTTCTTAGCTATATATAACCTTTTTAGCTTTCTTCTTTTAAATAAAGGATTTTCTTTTATTACACTCAAGCTACTGTAGCCAGTTGTTGTCTATTGTTTGTGATTATGATAAATTGCTAAATGAATCAAACATCAATTGAATTTAAAGAGAATTCTATTTAGGTAAAGGTACGACGACTACAAAAGCTGGTTTAACCTATATAAGGCACCACAAAAGGTTTCCAAGGGAAAATATTTTTAAAAGAATGAATACATGTTGTTAGTAGTTTGTAAGATGGTATAATTATTGTAGATTTAGAGAAGACTAATCTATTTTTTTTTAATTCTACCACCTGGATTGTTGATCAAGTATTTATATCCTTATAAGTTTATGAAAAGTTCTGTCAGTAAATTATTTTAATATGTTTTGTTAAAGGCAATTATCTGAACTTGTAACAAGTGCAAAAAATATTTGAAAAAGACGTGTGAAAATTATAGTTTAGGAAAACTTTTTGCATTGAAAAATATTAAGGGATTGAAAAAAAACACTTATCAGTTACAGTTTAGTTCTAGTTCAGTTCTAGTCAGTTCTAGTTCAGTTCTAGTTCAGTCTAGTTCAGTTCTAGTTCAGTTCTAGTTCAGTTCTAGTTCAGTTCTAGTTCAGTTCTAGTTCAGTTCTAGTTCAGTTCTAGTTCAGTTCTAGTTCAGTTCTAGTTCAGTTCTAGTTCAGTTCTAGTTCAGTTCTAGTTCTAGTTCAGTTCTAGTTCAGTTCTAGTTCAGTTCTAGTTCAGTTCTAGTTCAGTTCTAGTTCAGTTCTAGTTCAGTTCTAGTCAGTTCTAGTTCAGTTCTAGTTCAGTTCTAGTTCAGTTCTAGTTCAGTTCTAGTTCAGTTCTAGTTCAGTTCTAGTTCAGTTCTAGTTCAGTTCTAGTTCAGTTCTAGTTCAGTTCTAGTTCAGTTCTAGTTCAGTTCTAGTTCAGTTCTAGTTCAGTTCTAGTTCAGTTCTAGTTCAGTTCTAGTTCAGTTCTAGTTCAGTTCTAGTTCAGTTCTAGTTCAGTTCTAGTTCAGTTCTAGTTCAGTTCTAGTTCAGTTCTAGTTCAGTTCTAGTTCAGTTCTAGTTCAGTTCTAGTTCAGTTCTAGTTCAGTTCTAGTTCAGTTCTAGTTCAGTTCTAGTTCAGTTCTAGTTCAGTTCTAGTTCAGTTCTAGTTCAGTTCGTTCAGTTCTAGTTCAGTTCTAGTTCAGTTCTAGTTCAGTTCTAGTTCAGTTCTAGTTCAGTTCTAGTTCAGTTCTAGTTCAGTTCTAGTTCAGTTCTAGTTCAGTTCTAGTTCAGTTCTAGTTCAGTTCTAGTTTCAGTTCTAGTTCAGTTCTAGTTCAGTTCTAGTTCAGTTCTAGTTCAGTTCTAGTTCAGTTCTAGTTCAGTTCTAGTTCAGTCTAGTTCAGTTCTAGTTCAGTTCTAGTTCAGTTCTAGTTCAGTTCTAGTTCAGTTCTAGTTCAGTTCTAGTTCAGTTCTAGTTCAGTTCTAGTTCAGTTCTAGTTTCAGTTCTAGTTCAGTTCTAGTTCAGTTTAGTTCAGCTTCTAGTTCAGTTCTAGTTCAGTTCTAGTTCAGTCTAGTCAGTTCTAGTTCAGTTCTAGTTCAGTTCTAGCTCAGTTCTAGTTCAGTTCTAGTTCAGTTCTAGTTCAGTTCTAGTTCAGTTCTAGTTCAGTTCTAGTCAGTTCTAGTTCAGTTCTAGTCAGTTCTAGTTCAGTTCTAGTTCAGTTCTAGTTCCAGTTCTAGTTCAGTTCTAGTTCAGTTCTAGTTCGTTCTAGTCAGTTCTAGTTCAGTTCTAGTTCAGTTCTAGTTCAGTTCGTTCAGTTCTAGTTCAGTTCTAGTTCAGTTCTAGTTCAGTTCTAGTTCAGTTCTAGTTCAGTTCTAGTTCAGTTCTAGTTCAGTTCTAGTTCAGTTCTAGTTCAGTTCTAGTTCAGTTCTAGTTCAGTTCTAGTTCTAGTTCAGTTCTAGTTCAGTTCTAGTTCAGTTCTAGTTCAGTTCTAGTTCAGTTCTAGTTCAGTTCTAGTTCAGTTCTAGTTCAGTTCTAGTTCAGTTCTAGTTCAGTTCTAGTTCAGTTCTAGTTCAGTTCTAGTTCAGTTCTAGTTCAGTTCTAGTAGTCTAGTTCAGTTCTAGTTCAGTTCTAGTTCAGTTCTAGTTCAGTTCTAGTTCAGTTCTAGTTCAGTTCTAGTTCAGTTCTAGTTCAGTTCTAGTTCAGTTCTAGTTCAGTTCTAGTTCAGTTCTAGTTCAGTTTCTAGTTCAGTTCTAGTTCAGTTCTAGTTCAGTTCTAGTTCAGTTCAGTTCTAGTTCAGTTCTAGTTCAGTTCTAGTTCAGTTCTAGTTCAGTTCTAGTTCAGTTCTAGTTCAGTTCTAGTTCTGTTCTAGTTCGGTTCTAGTTCAGTTCTAGTTCAGTTCTAGTTCTGTTCTAGTTCGGTTCTAGTTCAGTTCTAGTTCAGTTCAGATCGTATTGATTTCGAACATTATAATATAAATTGGAGTTTGGTAAAATAATTCTAAGCCTCCCAAATTTTATCGAGCTATTTTTAAGATTACCAACAGAAGTTTGATAAAAAGGACAAAAGTATGGACGGCTTCAAATCGGCTTTGAAACTTCTGACTATTAGTAAGCTGGCTTTTTTTGAAGGGCAAATTATATAAGCCCAAATATGGGCGGCCAATGAAGGCTTTTCTTATTGACTGTTAGATAAAATTAAAATTTTTCGAATTTTACTCCACATTGAATTCTTTAATTTTAACATTGGCCACACCAGCTAATTCAAACAATTTTACCAAACCTCATTTTTTTCTAAACTTTCATAATCTAACTTCACTCTTTTGCTGTATAAGAAAGAAAAATCTTCAAAAGAAAATAAGTATGCTAAGTTGTAACTAATTCATAGTTAGTCCTATACTTGGCTTAATTTTCTATATGCGGTTGTACGGTAACAATTCAAGAAAAATAAAATTGAATAAAAAAAGAATCTAGATTTGCTTTACAATACTTCTCACTATATTTGTATATGAAAATTTCATTGAAATTATTTTCATTGATGTTAAGAAAAAGGTGTCAGCCATAAATCGTGTCTAAAATTTTTTGTTTCTTCTTCTTCACTCTATCTACTATAGCAACAACACTAGTTGTAACTACTTTTTTGCTTTAAAATTCAATTTTTCATCACTAAAAATTACTTTTTCTATTTTATACCAACTATAAACTTTTCTACAAATATTAAAGGTTTTCCTATATAGTATTTTTGACTTGTGATAATGCGATCCAAGAGGGAACTTCTTGTTGAGATGAAGTCTTGTTGCTTAAATTATAAAACAATGTTTAACAGCAGCAACAGTAATAGCAAAAATGTTGTTGTTGTTTTTTTAGTCGGTCATTCGGTTAAATATGCGGTAAATGTTTTTGGTTGTTTATAATTTTGTTGTTGTGGTTTCTTTTTCGATTGTTGTTGTTGTTAAGAAAAAACATTATAAATAACAGTTATTCATATTATTTTTATAAAGCACACCTTTAAATGGAAATTGTGCTATTTTATATAGTGTTATTGGTTTATAATTTGCTGCTTTTTATATGTATTATGTAGATGACCAACAGAATTAGAACATGGAACATAATAAGCTAAACTATTTTAATTGAACATAAAAAGGACTTTATGGCATTGTCTACATTATTGGGAAATTTTAAACTTTAAACATATATTTGAAATATTTTAGTTTAAGATAAAATTTATAGAATTGCTGTCAATGATATTATTAATATCATTGTAAGAAATTATAGTCGGACGATGCCGACCATATAATACCCTACACCTGTTACAAAAATAAAATGTGGTTTAGTTTTCATAATAAAGCATGTAGTTGAATTGTACCTTGCCTCAGATATACTTAAGCCATTTATTGTTGAATAAAATTGTGGACATTTAAGTCAAATTTTGAAAGGGGCTTTGTATAGGTGCTATGGTCAATTGAGACCATATATATGTGCTATGGTCAATTTGAGATGCGTGTATATTAAACATAATTATGAGTTTAAAAGCCCTATTCGTCGGGTTGGGGGCTAAGTGAAATAATGGTCCGATGGGCTTTGTCTCCGGTACCATAGAAGATCATGTGCCAAATTTCATTGAATTATCAACAAAATTGCGACCTGTAGTTTGATTACAAGGTTTACAAGCCCTATTCAGGGGTTCAGTTGTATGAGGTGAAATAATGGACCGATGTTAACCATTTTCAATAGGCTTCGTCCCTGGGAGAATAGAAGATCACATACCAAATTTTTCAAATTCAAAATTGCGACCTGTAGTTTGATTACAAGGTTTACATGGACGGACCAACAGACGGACGAACATGTGCCAAATTTCATTGAATTATCAACAAAATTGCGACCTGTAGTTTGATTACAAGGTTTACAAGCCCTATTCAGGGGTTCGGTTTTATGGGGGCTAGGTGAAATAATGGACCGATGTTAACCATTTTCAATGGGCTATGTCTCCGGTACCATAGAAGATCATGTGCCAAATTTCATTGAATTATCAACAAAATTGCGACCTGTAGTTTGATTACAAGGTTTACAAGCCCTATTCCGGGTTCAGTTGTATGGGGACTAGGTGAAATAATGGACCGATGTTAACCATTTTCAATAGGCTTCGTCCCTGGGAGAATAGAAGATCACATACCAAATTTTTCAAATTCAAAAATGCGACCTGTAGTTTGATTACAAGGTTTACATGGATGGACGGACAGACGGACGGACATAGCTAAATCGACTCAGAAAATGATTCTAAACCGATTGGTATACTTTAATTTGGGTATAGGACCAATATTATTATGCGTTACAAACATCAGCATAAACCCAATATAACCTCCCCACTAAAGTGGTGTAGGGTATAAAAACAAAGTGTAATTTTTAGAATGTTTAAATATTTTTTAAATTAAAATACTTAAATTTTTTAGAAATTTTCCAATATTTAATTAAAGGGAACAATTTTCAAATTTAAATAGAACTTTCAAACTAAAAATTCTGTTGTCATGGTTATATTTTAAGATTTAAGTACATTTTCACTTTCATGTTTCTTTAACCTCAAAACCTTAATATATTAAAAAATTTTGAAGACTTTGCTAATTCATTCGAAAAATGATTTTTCAATATTCGAAAGCTTTTGTTACATGCTTAACAAAAATTTCACTTAAGTAAAACTCAAAATGATTTCTAAAGAATTTCTACGGTTAACATCAAAACTCCACTTTTTTCAATATTATTTTTTTTTACAAAATACTTCCCAATTGATAGCTCATAAATAAAAAAAGTGAAAAAATAATCAAATATGAAAAAAAACACATTTCACATACCTGAATCAATATCTGTGGCCATCACCGTCACAACAGGTGTTCCAATTGAAACATTCTCATAAATCTCCATTGAATAACTTATAGGATCAAAAACTGGTGGATTATCATTTAAATCCAAAACATTACAATAAACCGTCAAGGTGGTGGAAAGACTAGGTTGGCCATTATCTTGGGCTTGTACTACCAAAATATAATGTTGTATCTAAAAAAAACAATAAGGTTAAAATGCAACAATGTATTATAATCTGTTGTTTATACATATTTCTAAAGAAAACAAGAATAAACAAAAAAATTTTTAATTTTATTTACCTCTTCATAATCCAAACGGGCTGTCAATGTCAAAACGCCTGTTTGAGGATTTAAACTGAATACATCATTGGCCCAATCAGAGATTACGGTATATGTTACCACAGCATTATTGCCCAAGTCTGGATCTGTCGCTGCAATGATGCCCACTTGATAGCCACGTGGGGCGTTTTCGGGTATATCAAATGAATAAACGGGCACATCAAATTGTGGTGGATTGTCATTGGTGTCGGTCACCTGTCGCAAACACAAAATAAAAATATTAAATTTAAAAACAATCTGTAACATTTTTTGTTTAGAAGAAACAAAAGTATAAAAACAACAAAATAAATTTGTTATAAAAATAAATTAAAAAATTATTTAAAATTAAATGTAGTTTAATATTCGTTTGCCCTTTCCATTTTAAGTGTATGTAAGTGTGTTTGGAATCCTTCAAATGTGGCGTTTTAAAAACCTTTATTTTGTTGTTGTGCGGTTTTTGTGGTTGCTAAAAAATATTATATTCCTTCCAACACTTTTATTCTTACCTAAATTTACCTCTTTTTGTATTCGCAAAATAAGCTGAAAAAAGTGTATTATGTATAAAGAAGTATAGGTGGAAACAGCTGTCATTTTGTATTCATGTCACGCATGCGTCTGCCAGACATTGTTGAGACTTGTCTGGAGTGGAGTGTTGTCTTACAGTTGAGTTATAAAATAAACCAGCAACAACAACAACAGCATTAGCATCAACAGCAATAACAATAACAACAAAAACTAAAATTTATAAATACTTATATTGTTTAGTACACAACAATAACTACAACAGCAACAACAAAAACAACAAGTAAGAAAGTAAAGTTGGACAAGTCCGACAATAAGATACCCTTAGTATAATTACAACTAATATTAATTATGTCAGCTATGATCAATTATAAAATGATCCTGCTGAAAGTGGATAATAAGACAAGAATAATTGATTCTCAGAAGTTAAAGATACATCAAAAACTATTTAGTAAAGTTTTGTTTTATTGATATATAGTTATCTTAGTGGATTACAAATATCACCACAAACTAATAATACCCACTTTATTATGCATTCGGTAGGGTATGAAAACAACATCAAAAGAAGTAAATAAAAAAGTGTTAACAAAACATGTACATGTTTAAGCAAATCTTTTGGCTTAAAGAAGCAAGCAAACAAATAGACGGTTTCTTTTTTATTATTATTATTTTCTTATTATGATAATTTTTTTCGTATTTTCATCTTTATTTTCTCTGTTGTTATTGTTGTTTTTCTTATGTCAAGTAGTTGAATAAAGGTTTGGTTTTTAATAAATTTTAACAATTCTCTGCACAAAAACCACATTTACATCCTCTTAGGGTGAGTCATGTAAAGATTTTATGATTTTTTTCAGACTCAACTAAAGCTTATTAGGATTTAAAGAAACTTACTTAATGAAAACAATTGTTACATAAAGTAACAAAAAAATATACAAACATACTATGTACATACATATACTCGTAAAAAGGGAAAGGTGTTAATTTTGTTGTAAAACTGTTTGGCAAACTACTTATTTTGAATTTCAAAGGAAAAATTTGCGCGCGCGCAAAACAATTAAAGTTTTCCTGTTGAATTTTAAATGGATTTTATAGTATTGTAGGTTTTGTGACAAGAACGAGGAGTCGAGAAAAGAACTAGCACTGAACTAGAACTGAACTAGAACTGAACTAGAACTGAACTAGAACTGAACTAGAACTGAACTAGAACTGAACTAGAACTGAACTAGAACTGAACTAGAACTGAACTAGAACTGAACTAGAACTGAACTAGAACTGAACTAGAACTGAACTAGAACTGAACTAGAACTGAACTAGAACTGAACTAGAACTGAACTAGAACTGAACTAGAACTGAACTAGAACTGAACTAGAACTGAACTAGAACTGAACTAGAACTGAACTAGAACTGAACTAGAACTGAACTAGAACTGAACTAGAACTGAACTAGAACTGAACTAGAACTGAACTAGAACTGAACTAGAACTGAACTAGAACTGAACTAGAACTGAACTAGAACTGAACTAGAACTGAACTAGAACTGAACTAGAACTGACTAGAACTGAACTGACTAACTAGAACTGAACTAGAACTGAACTAGAACTGAACTAGAACTGAACTAGAACTGAACTAGAACTGAACTAGAACTGAACTAGAACTGAACTAGAACTGAACTAGAACTGAACTAGAACTGAACTAGAACTGAACTAGAACTGAACTAGAACTGAACTAGAACTGAACTAGAACTGAACTAGAACTGAACTAGAACTGAACTAGAACTGAACTAGAACTGAACTAGAACTGAACTAGAACTGAACTAGAACTGAACTAGAACTGAACTAGAACTGAACTAGAACTGAACTAGAACTGAACTAGAACTGAACTAGAACTGAACTAGAACTGAACTAGAACTGAACTAGAACTGAACTAGAACTGAACTAGAACTGAACTAGAACTGAACTAGAACTGAACTAGAACTGAACTAGAACTGAACTAGAACTGAACTAGAACTGAACTAGAACTGAACTAGAACTGAACTAGAACTGAACTAGAACTGAACTAGAACTGAACTAGAACTGAACTAGAACTGAACTAGAACTGAACTAGAACTGAACTAGAACTGAACTAGAACTGAACTAGAATTGAACTAGAACTGAACTAGAACTGAACTAGAACTGAACTAGAACTGAACTAGAACTGAACTAGAACTGAACTAGAACTAACTAGAACTGAACTAGAACTGAACTAGAACTGAACTAGAACTGAACTAGAACTGAACTAGAACTGAACTAGAACTGAACTATACATTATTCAGTAAACTATTTAAGGTATTTAAACCATTATATTTTCAGCAATAGACAGATTTCTGTAATAAATAAGCTTACCATTTACACTTACAATTTCTACAACTACAAATATACAAGTTATTTATATGCTAGCCATTTTTATGATTTGTATATGGTTAAAACTTAAGAAAAGACCTGGCCTCTAGCAACATTTGAAAATAAAAATTCATAGTACTTTTCTAAACCAGCAAATAGTTAAGGGCTTTTTTTGTCCAAGCGTACGTTAAAATTCAAAAAAATTTAAATAATTGTAATGAAAATTTATGCGGTAGACTATAAAAGGTCAACAATAGTATTCTTTTCCTTTTGAAAAAGTGTTTACAGAAATAAATAAAAAAGTACATTTACAAAGTTTGTAGTACAAAACAATTTGTAGTTACAATGTTGCAAAAATTATACAAGGAATTTAATCTTAAGCGTTTTTTTTTTTTTATAAAAAAAAATAGACAAATATTAAATAAAGTTTTGAGCGAGTGAATAAAGACATTTTCATACACAAGAAACTGAACTAGTTTTCAACTGAACTAAAGTTTTGCATTACGTTCTTCAACATTTATTTTACGTTGAAACTGTCATTGTTTAAAGAGTGTTTATTTTTTTACGTTTTTTTTTATACCCTACACCACTTTAGTGGGGAGGGTATATTGGATTTGTGCTGATGTTTGTAACATACAAAAATATTCGTCCTAGACCCACCTTAAAGTATACCAATCGGCTTAGAATCGTTTTCTGAGTCGATTAAGCTATGTCCGTCCGTCCGTCCGTCCGTCTGGCTGGCTGGCTGGCTGGCTGTCCATGTAAACCTTGTGCGCAAGCTACAGGTCGCAATTTTCAAGATAATTGGATGAAATTTAGCACGCACGTTTTATTTGACCCAAGGACGAAGCCTATTGAAAATGGTTAAAATCGGTCCATTATTTCACCTAGCCCCCATAGAACAGAACCCCCCGAAAAGGGCTTCTGAGCTCGTAATTATGTTAAATATACAGATATATCGATAAAATACGGCACAACTAAGTTTTATAGAAGTCTTGATGACCCTGCCAAATTTCATAAAGATCGGGCCCCATTTGACCCTAGCTCCCATACAAAGTCCCCTTCAGAAAATTACTTGAATGTCCCAAATTAACTTATAAACACAAATATCGCGATGAAATTCAGCACAATAAAATATTATGTAAATATAAATATATTCATATATTCATATATTCATATATCGGGCTTGGTCCATATTTGCCCCTAGCCCCCATATAAAGCCTCTTTCAGAAAATTAGTTTTTCATCCATAAATTGCTTAAATGTATCGGAACAAGGGAATATTGAAGATAAATGCTTTATTATGAAAAATAAATCACATTTAATATTCATAACTGGTGTAGGGTATCATATGGTCGGCCACGCCCGACTATACTTTCTTACTTGTTTAAATATATATTTCATATGATCTTTTCCTGGATACTGACTGCTTCATTGTTGGCATATGTATGTGTGTTGTTTTTGGTAATTTGATAGCTTGCAACGTGTTAAATAAAAACGCCTCAATGATTACTTCAATGCGCTTCCCTTTTTCTTAAACTTTATTTCATTATAATGATTTTGTTTTTACTGCAAACAGCTTAAGACACACACAACAAAAGTTGGATATAAGAGAAAAAAAGAGTTTCAGCAGCATCCAACAACCATAAGATTTTATGCGCCCCCTACTAGCCTAAAAAAACTCAGTGCGGAGCCCGAAAACAAAAAGACAGCACTATATTATGGACACATTTTTAAATATAACTAGTAACTATACAAAAAGCCGGTATTTAATATAAAATCAACTCTCGCTTAGTGGAATGATCAGACGTTTCTTGGTCAAATCGAGATGGCTGTTGGCAAGAAAAAGGCAAAAAAAAAAAGAAAACATTCAAGCAAAGTAAAGATGCTTTTATTGTGATAAAATCAGAATATGGATTACAAAAATGCACAAACACATTTACTTATAAACACATATTTATATAGTATGTTGTTTGTATGTATCCAGCTCTGTTTAAGGTGTATAAAATGTTTATAAAAAGCTTCAACCTACAAATAACACTTTAGCTTAAAGAAAATATTCTGTTGCTTGTGGTGTTAATATTTTTAGGTTTTTGGAGTTTAAGAAAAAATTTCAAATTTTTAAATTACAAAAAAAAAAAAAAAATCAATATAAAAAGAAAGAGCGCTTAAATCGTACTTTTTATATCAAACACCCTATAAAATAGAATTAATACTACCTTACTTCACTACCCTTATCGAATTAAATTAAAATTAAATTGTACCAGACGCCTGTCTCTCCATTTTTTTTTTTTTTAATAAACGATGATATATGTAACATTTTTGTTGTATTTGTTTTAATTTAGGAGATATAAGGATACTGAGGAACCCGTTTTTACCCTGTTTCTCTTGCTCCCTCTTCTAATGTATCTGTAGATGAGCGATACTCTTAAAGTTCCCTAAAGAGCTTTCTGCTACTCTTGTACCAAAGCTTTAGAACCTGTTTTTCACAAAGTTCCAAAAAAATCCAATCCTTGTTAAATGCAGTCCATGACTTATATTTATTATAAGAAAACGTTGCAAAACATACAATATCATTCTAAAACGAGCGGGATGATATCTGACTATTCTTAAAAGTGTCATAAGAAAAAGACTAGATTATATTAGATTAGATTAGATTAGATTGAAGGGGCACAAAGCACTGCGACCTTTTTGTGGATCTTTGGTGCAACCCATTGGTTCACCATACAAGTTTTAGTTCAGACACGAAGGTAACTGGTTTAGTTGGTGAGGGGTTGAATCCTGTCTACAGAATCTGCATAAATTCGTTGAAAAGTTGCCTAGAATGAATTGATGGTATCTGAGACCACAATGTCCAAGTTCCAGTTCCAGTTAATCCCGTTAGTACTCTGAGATCGCTTTTATTGAGCGCTAGTAGCTTTTGGGATTTTCCCTTTGACAGTGTAATGAAACTTTTTGTCCCAATGGCGAATAAATTTCGATTTCACCCAAGAGTCATATTTGGGGAATAACAAAGAAGTGCTCAGGGCCGATTAGCTGGCGACGAGCGCCCCTATTTGCTAGGCAGTCTGCCCTTTTATTTCAAAGTGACCGTCATGACCAGGTACCCAACATAAAGTCACTTTATTTTGTTTACCTTACTCATTGAGTGAAGTCAAGTAGTCCATTACAACACCCGACCTTACCTTGTATGAAAATAAGGGTTGAGTGGTGCTTGGCTATCCGACATTATAAAAATTCTTAATCCCTTGTTTCTTCTCCTAAAGCACTCCCTAGCACAAATAAAGATAACATATATTTCTGCTGGAAAGATTGAAGGATAGTCTCCAAGGGGGATGGCCTCTTGGAAATTGGGGTGACAAATGCCGTTTCGCCGTTTATTTGTTTGGACCCATTTGTGAACCAAACTTGATCAGCTTTTTCTTGCCACCAAGTTTGATCAGTCCATAAGTCCCTATTCGGTATAATAACCTCAAATGATCTATCGAAAACCATAGTTGGTGACCCACAGTCGGGAATTAGAGTATTCTCATATGTGCAACCAAGTACCCAGTTTTCAAGTTGGCAATACCTGTTAGGCGAATTGCTGATCCGCAAGCTTCTTCCTTGATAAGAATGTGCAGTGGTGGAATATGCCATATTGCACCCATATGTGGGACAAGTTCTCATTCCAAGAGACACAGATGAGACGATATATCATGTCCAAAGAAGCCCGAGTTGTGACCTGTTCTACTTTTTGCCACCAAACTAAAGAGACGTAGGTCAATATGGGTTTATTATGAATTTTTTTGTAGCGCATTTTCAAATTCGACCACATGTTTGAAAATTAAACAACAACAATGCCATACCTTAACCTACAACATGTTTATGTTAATATTATTGGTATGTAAAACTCGACATAGTGTTGGAGCTGCCAACTGAAGTGTTCATAACATGTCCACTTAGCAAAACGTAACGTTTCATCTACTCATCTAAATAAACAAATAAAAGTGTTATGCATACATACACACAGATACACTTCAAAATATACACATACATACATATGTAGTTGAGTTAAATAAATGGCACTATGGATTTTGTGTACTCTTCTATATGTATGTATGCATGCATGATTCATAAGTGTTAAACATACAACTTTAATACATTTTCAATATTTTATTATTTCTTATTTAAAGGATGTCTTTTCTGTTGTTATATTTAAATACTCATATTCCTTTTGTTATTGTTGTTATCGTCGTTGTGGTTGTTTTTGTTGTTCTTAATGTTTTTTGCACTTTATTTCTTTTTCTGACCAAAAAAAAAAGTAAAAATTGTTCAAGGTCTTTTGTATAGTTTACAAGTTAAACCGTACTACAAAAAGCCGTATAAAATTAAAGGATTTTGGCACACAAACTAACAGACTAAAATAAAATAAAATTTAATTTTTTTGTTTATGTGACACACTCTTTCACAGAGATTTGTTTTTTTTTTTTGCGCAAAGACTTTAGTGTATATTGGAAACCATTTTTAACACCATAAATACAAGATGAAACCAAATTGAAATTTATGTGATTTCTGCTTAAAATCTACCTTGATTTTTTTCAGTTTAATTTCATTTAAAATCTTATTTCTTTTCTTTATATGTATTGTTGTACGTATTTCGTAATTTTTGTTTTGATGGGTATTTTGTTGTATATTAATGGAATTTGTAGCTTATTTGTGTGTGTCTGGTTTTTTCTGATTTTTTTCTTTTGTAAGATATTTAACTAAAAGTTTTATTTGTAAATTTATTAAGGTTACATTATTCACACTTTGCACTTCATTTAGGAAAATAAATGTGTGTTTAATGAATATATAGTGGTTATTTTGTAAATAAATAATTTATTTATATTGTTTCTTGACTTTCTGTAAAATTAACACAATTTAATTTATTATAGAGTGAAAAAAAGATGTTATACAAATCTTTTGAAATTAAAACGTTTACAATTTATTTACATAACTCTTCGCGGTGGATTTAATTGTGAGTGAAGAAAAACGGGGACGATTCCCAACTAACTAACTAACTAACTAAAACTAACTAAACTAACTAAAACTAACTAACAAACTAACTAACTAACTAAATAACTAACTAACTAACTAACTAACTAACTAACTAACTAACTAACTAACTAACTAACTAACTAACTAACTAACTAACTAACTAACTAACTAACTAACTAACTAACTAACTAACTAACTAACTAACTAACTAACTAACTAACTAACTAACTAACTAACTAACTAACTAACTACTAACTAACTAACTAACTAACTAACTAACTAACACTAACTAACTAACTAACTAACTAACTAACTAACTAACTAACTAACTAACTAACTAACTAACTAACTAACTAACTAACTAACTAACTAACTAACTAACTAACTAACTAACTAACTACTAACTAACTAACTAACTAACTAACTAACTAACTAACTAACTAACTAACTAACTAACTAACTACTAACTAACTAACTAACTAACTACTAACTAACTAACTACTACTAACTAACTAACGAACTAACTACTAACTAACTAACTAACTAACTAACTACTACTACTAACTAACTAACTAACTAACTAACTAACTAACTAACTAACTAACTAACTAACTAACTAACTAACTAACTAACTAACTAACTAACTAACTAACTAACTAACTAACTAACTACTAACTAACTAACTAACTACTAACTAACTACTAACTAACTAACTAACTAACTAACTAAAATAAAACGGAGTACTCCCAAAAACATTTATCACCACTTCAAAGTAGCACTAGGTGAATACTTTACTTTCTGTGGAAGTAATGTTTAATGACTTCCGAAGAAGCGAAAGTAATTATAATTATAATTAAGTAAATATTCTTTAATGCTAAATATATAATTTTCTGTTCTTATATTTAAGTATGAGTATGATATGAGTTACAAAATATTATTTTTGGGCTTTTATATTAAATGTGTCTATTTCCCTTATTATTGTCAATATTATTTAAATCAAATTAGTTGTAATATTTAATACTGCAATTTCAAGCCCAAGTAACTTCCAAAAAAACTTCTTGAGAGTGAAAAATAGTGAATTTGAAATCAAGTAAAACGAGCATCCCTCCTATGGCAAGCCTATGTTAAATTCATCACTTGTGTAGGTCTTTTTCAGTACTTTCATAGAGTAAATTGTACCCATTTTTTGCTTCTTTGGAAGTTCTTTTTTGCTGGGAAGAGTATAACATTATATTTAACATTGATGTTATTTTTGTATTGATTTTCAAGATTTAATTTCTCTAAATAAAAATTACAAATTCTTAAACTTTCTAAACAGATTTTAAAAAACTTTTAACAATAAACTCTTTATAAATCAATTAATTTATTTCATCATCTTACCGTTATTTCAACAATAGTCTCTGTATGTTGCACACCATCACTGACACGAACTTTCAACTGATAATTTTCTTTAATCTCACGATCCAAAGCTTCCTTTAAACGCAGTTTACCAGTATCACGCTCCAGAAAAAATTTACTATCATCACCGTTGACAAGAGAGAATGTCAAAGAGCCCAAAGTATCTGGATCTGAGGCACGTATGGTAGCAATTAGATGACCAGCTGTTAAGTCCTCACTCACATTAAACGACAAAGGTAAATCCCGAAAAACAGGAGGACTATCATTTTTATCCAATATCATAACTTTAAGCTGTAACAAAAGAAGAAAACAAAAAATTAAAGAAAAAGATAAATAAAACATAAACATTAAATTATTTTTTTATGATTTTCAATAAACTTATTATAAATAAGTGTATGTAGCAACATGTATAAAAAAGGCAACATCTGCAAACATTAAGTAAAAGCTTGTGTCCCAACCATATTTTTTTAATTCAATTATACACAAAAAAAACGTTAAATGCTATCAACTGTAAAATCACACAACAATCGGTTTTTTTTCAACTGCTTCTCAACAGCTTAACACAAGGCATCAAAAGTGATGTTGTCCATCATGCCACACAACACCAAAAACACAATATAAGTTTAGGAACAAAAACAGAAACAACCACAACAATATTGTAAGTAAGTGAGTGAAGTGAAGTGAGGTATGGTCCATACATATGATGAGATGGTTTGTTACTTTTATTTTTCTTTTTTTTTTCAAGATTGTTTTGAAAAGTTGCAAGTACTATGCATTTGGTAGGAAAAAAGAAAACTTCAAGAGTGTAACAAAGAAATGTATGAATGTTTGTTCATTTTGTTGCCTGTTTAGTTTGTTTGAATGTCCATCTGTTTTTTTTTTTTGTACTTTTATAAGGGGCACGTACTTGCAGTAGCCACCATAGACAGCGCCTTAACTGAGTGATACATCATCATTGTTGTCGTTTGTTGTTGTCCACATCATCGTCATCGTCGTCATCATCATCAACAGTAACAACAACAGCAACAGAAACATCAACATTATTGAATGTTTGTATGTATCACAAAACTTATGTTGAAAATTGTTATTGAAGTAATAATATAATTACAGCTTTAACGTTTTCAGTTTTAAGTTTTTAGTTTTTTATTTCGTTACAGCCACAATCAAGCACAACAACGACACAATAAAACTAAAACAAAAAAAGCTCTAGCAGTTACAATAACATTTCAAGAAAATCTAATACAAAAAAGCCTTTAAAAGGAAATAACAACTTTTATTTTTGTCGTATTTGTTATATATGGATGCCATGTGTCTAACTGCAAAAATATAGATAAATTTATATTAAAGAAAAAATTGTTGAGCGAAAAAAAAAAGAAATATTAAAATATTCATGTTCGTTTAGCTTTCAAGCAACTAAACCACATTTGTAACTATTAAACTAATGCTATTACCAGTACCACCACGCTACATTGGCTATATTGCTTTATATGTTGTTGCTGTTGTTACTGTATTTGTTGCAAATGCTGCCGTTTTTTTTTTCTTTATTATTTTTACTTAAAAATAACACTCCATTTATACAGCTGCATGCGTATAATGCGTCATTTGTAACTACATACTGCCACAACTTTAACTTTGCTACTCAACTCCACAAACTATACACCACTGCTTGCATGCGTATAAGTTGTATTTATTGCTGTTTTAGGTTTTTTTTTTCGTATATAAATGTGTGGTAAAATTGTCTTTTTATTATAAACATAAATATATTAGTTTTTTTTTTTGTTTGAAACTAAACTTAATGTTTTGTCTGTGTGGTATTTTGTCTGTTTATTTATCATTGGCTGTCTTTCAAACAAATGATTGACAATCGTTGTTTGTGAACAAAAATTTGTTTATGTGTAATTTAAGGGAAATCTTAATGAATTTATGTATTAAATAATAAACCTTTAATAGAAGTTTACAATTGGTGTGTAAATGTTATTTCTTATGGTAGAATATTAAGATAAAACAAAAGACTTAGGAAAGGAACTTGCATTAGGTTATAAAAATGCTGAAGAAACATACAACAATAGAAATTTCATTAAGTGAATTTGTTAACCTTAATATATTTAAAACTTATATAATTTCGTAATTTGTGATTAAAGTGAATTTATATTTTTTCTATGCTAGGGCTTTAATAATCAAAAGACTTAAGAAGCGAACTTGTGATTCATTTATTTCCGCAATATTTTATTGATTAGAACACAGGGTATACCACATATTATCAGTATTGAATTTCTTATTCGATTGAAAAGGACAATTATATAACAAAATGTTTTGAGAAAAAATTCCAAAATATCTCTTTAAAACATTGAATTTGTTTTGTTGTTTTTTTTTTAGAAAATTAAACTTCTTTTAGTCATATGTTATGTTATTACTTAGTTATTAAGTATGATTGATTAATAGCGCACTTTTGGTAATTCCTAAAATTTTCCAAACAATGTTCGTAAGAGATTCTATATCTAGAAAAATATCGCTTGCAAGATATTTAGGTTAAGTTAGGTTGATAGGAGGATGTATAGTACATCAAATCCGAAGAAATACACCTAGGCCACTATCGGGCCTGTTGTAAGCTCTTTTTCATGAAAAAAAAATTGTTCACTGAGTATATTACATTTCAATGTTCAGAAACATAGTTTCCTGGACGTTATTCCTAAGAATTTTCCAATCAGTGTTAGTCAGGAATGTTATTTCCGGAATAACATCACTTCCAAGATACTTGAATCGGACGAATGCCTGACAGTGGTAAAGAAAGTGCTCCAGAGTTTCACTGTCCTCTCCACATGCTCTACATTCGTCTGAATCCGCGAGGCCAATTTTGTATAGATGTGCTCGTAATCCTATGTGTCCACTCAGAATACGTACCATCATACTAACTTCAGACTTGCTCATTTTGAGGAGATTTCCCGTCTTATTCTTATCAGGGTCACCCATAGGATCTTTGTGGTTCTACACACGGTTTCATTATTCCAAGAGACCTTATGGGATTCTCTCAATCATATTTTTTATTCAGCTTTTGTTGCGTCGAATGGTTTTGCGTTTGTCAGGTTAACTATCTCGAGCTCCTTTGCCCTTTAAAGCAAGATAATTGGATCTAATCTCGACAAAAGCCAGGCAATGGCAGTGTTCCAATGTTTCACTCCTCTTCGTATGCTCTACATTCATTTGAATATACTCGTCAAATTTTGTATAGATGTGCTCGTAATCATATGTATCCACTCAGAATGCATATCATCATACTAACTTCAAACTTGCTCCTCTCGTTTCGGTTACACTATAGGATCTTAGTGGTTGCAGCCATTGCTGCATTATTCTTAGTGGCATTTGTTACTCTCTTCTTAAGTTAGTCATCGTTGTGTTTAACGGTTTTGCTTCGTTAGGTTAACTTCCTCGAATTCCATTTCTTTTATGACCTCGAACGTATAAGATGTAAAATTTGCCTCTGAAAGAGTTCGATTAGGCTCTCTTACTGTCCAATACAGTTTTTATATTTAACCTATTCATTTTATGTATATCGCTCTAAATGCCTTCTGGCTATCGGTATATATATTAAACTTTGTTGGTATAATATATTTTATAATCCAGTTTAAATAATTCCTTATAACAAGGACTTACTGGAAGCTAGTGTTGTGATCAGCCAGATGCTAGTATTCAATGTAAAACCTCAAGGACGTTTTGTCCCCTAGTTTAGAGTCATCAGTGTAGCCACGATTGATATTTGCTCTATTTGAGATTAGTGTCTTAGAGTTCCAGAAAAAATGTGTTTTTGGTATGCGATCGGAAACATGTTTAACTCACCTAAAATCTAAGTTCATTTTTAGTAAGCGTCCTAGGTTATTCTCATTAAAAATTGTATACATAATTATACAATGTTATGAGATTTAAAGCTTTGTAAGTAGTTCCTAGTTCAATGTTAGGAGGACAAAATGATGGATCAATTTAAACCACCAATACAATAGATCACTTAGCAAATTTCATACAATTATCTTCAAAATTGCGATCTGTAATTTGATCACTGGGTTTACATGGTGGGACACACATGTCTGTGTGGACGCAGATATAGAAATTTGTATGGGACCTTTCATTCTCTGCATTACAATCAACACATTGACACTATAGTGGTTTAGGGTGAATCAATCACTCATTTTGTATATGGGCAATTTCATATCAAGTGACCCAACTCAAAAAATCGATTTTGGCGAAATGATAAGTACTATTGTATAGTAGGTCAGGCATAAATTTTCAGCGATATCGGTCCAGAACTGCTGGACTTAGAGGTGGTCATACTTGTACATTTTGGTTATACAAGGAAACAATGAAGAAATAGTTATCTGAACTCCTTTGGACAAGTTTTGTTAGAACCAATAAGTGAAAAGTTACACTCATTTGAATAAAACCCTGTAAGATCAAAATGTCCAACTTTGACCCCCTCTTAGGCAGGCAGTTCTGAGCCAATTGAAATTTGTGTCTGGCCTACTATCCAATAGTACGAACCGTGGTGAAAATTTAATCAAATTCGGAAGACATTGATTTTAAAAGCTGGGTCACTTGACTCGAAATGATATGGGTAATTTTGTGTAACGTTTACGTTTTTTGAACAGAAAATATGTAAAATCGATGTTTACATACAAATCGATTGGTATATCAGACATAATAGGTAAAATATTAGATTTACTCACCATAAGGATTTCTTTCTTAGTTTCTCAAATTCGAATGATTTCACTGCAGTTGGAATGTTTTCATATAATTGTAGTATTCCTGAGATACCGGTTATTTAAAGGACGAAAATAAGCGCAGATATAACACGATACGTAGCAAAGACGTTTTATATACATAAACATTCAAGCTAAATAACTATATCGGTCTAGCGTACAGTATTTTTTTACAATTCATATCAGTATGTTAAGTTTGTATTTACATACATCAAGTAAAACAAAAGACTTAAGACACAAACTTGCTACCAATACATTATATTTTTAGTATAAACAAAATTATTTTCTCCATATATAAGGACTTCTTCCTCATACATTTTAGTCTCTCATATTTAAATGATTCCACCGCTATTAACATGCCTTCCAAATATTTGTGATATTTCTGAGATACCAGGAGCGGTTATTAAAAGGACGAAATAAACTCAGATATAGATAGTAAAGCCAAATAACTATGTCGGTCTAGTGTACAGTTTTTTTTTACAATTCATATCAGTATGCATTTACATACATATATCAAGTAAAACAAAAGACTTAAGACACAAA